AGAATATTCCTCCAGTTACTACACTGCCTGACTCTACTACAACTGATCAGACCGCACCTGTCCTTACACCTACAAAAGGTGCAACGGTTCCTCCAACTGATATTCCAGTTCCACCTCCAGCTCCAGCTTCCGATTCTGGTGTGTCTGATATTGATATTAGGGGAGCCATACAAATGTTGACACAGATAGTGGCTTCTCAGGCCTAGAGAGCGAGTGTTGGGCCTACTTCTTCCAGTTATCTAGGGGAATCTTCTAGTTCCAGGGTGAACAAGTTTCTCCAGGTAGATCCTCCAGTGTTTACGGTACTGATCCCGAGAAGGACCCCCAGGACTTCATTAATGAGATGCACAAAACTCTCCGGGTTATGCATGCTACAGAGACGGAGGGAGTAGAGTTGGCCTCCTACTGCCTGAAAGGGGTGGCCTATTCTTAGTTTGAGTTGTGGGAGGAATCCCGCAAGGAGGGAAGCCCTCCGGCAAGGTGTGGTGAGTTCACAGATGCCTTTATGGATCATTTCTTGCCTGCCAAAACTAAGGCAGCTCGTGCCGCTGAGTTTGAAAGCCTGAAGCAGGGTAGTATGAATGTGTGAGAGTACCATATGAAGTTTGCGTGCCTGTCGAAGTATGATATTCACATGTTGCTCACTATGGAGGCTAGAGTACGCCGGTTTGTACAGGGCCTTAGCCCCTTGGTTATCAATGAGGCCTCTACAGCTGCCTTGAATTCCGATATGAACTATGGTAAGATAGTGGCATTTGCTCAAGCCATAGAGACCCACAAGTTGAAGAATAGAATGGAGCATCAGAGTAGCAGCAAGACCCGATCCGCGGGCAACTTTGGTGGTTCTTCCGGTGGTAGTGGGGGTAGGTCGGCATTCAGGGGAGCATCATCAGGACCATCCCAATCATTCGCCCAGTCTTCAATGGGTGCACAATTATCTGGACCTAATCAGGGCAACATGGGACCCCACCAGCAGGGTCGGCCCGACATAAAGTTTCAGCAGCGGAGGTTTCCATGCCCTAAGTGTGGGAGGATGCACTTTGGGTCTTGTTTCATGGACCTACCAATATGCTATGGGTGTGGTTTGAGGGGTCACATTCAGAGAGATTGCCGCTCATCCCGCCGAAATATGGGCAGAGGAGTAGCACAACTAGCTAATATTGTAGCTACTACATCCAGAGTACCTCCAGCCCGAGGCACCCCAGCACCCGTAGGGCGTGGTGCAGCTAGGGGTCGTGCATAGATTTCGGGAGGACCCAACAGATTTTATGCTATGCGGAGACGTCGGGAATTAGAGGCTTCTCCAGATGTTATCACAAGTATATTGACTGTCCAATCTCATGATGTATATACTCTTATTGATCCCGGTTCCACTTTATCATATGTCACACCTTATGTTGCTATGGAATTTGGGA